AAATTAAAAAAAAAATTAAAGGCGCATCTGGGTGGCTCAGTCAGTTAAGCATCTGACTTCAGCTCAGGTCATGATCTTGAGGTTCTTGAGTTCAAGTCCCTCATTGGGCTCCACATTCACAATATGGAGCCTGCTTGGGATGCTCTCTCTCTCCCTCACTCTTGCCCCTCCCCTGCTCACTCTGTCTCTGTCGCTCTCAAAATAAATAAACAAACTTAAAAACATTCAGAAAGACATGCTCATTATAGTTTTATTCCTCAACAGCCCCAAACTGAAAAGAAACCATTCATCGATGAACGGTGGTATGAACCGCACAGTGAAATACTACTCAGCAATAAAAAGCCGTCAGCTACTGACACCCAGCAACAGAGAGGAGTCTCATGACACACACACTTGAGTGAAAAAAGCCAGACGCAAACGAGCACATGCTCACAGTTCAAATCAGTTCAAAATCAGGCAATGCTATGGTGACAAAAACCAGGTCCGTTGTTACCCTTGGGAGGTATGGAATGGGAGAGGACACAAAGAAGTGCTGGGGTGCTTCTGAGGTGCTGGGAATGTTCTAGATCTTGGTTCGCAGGTACATGGGCGTCCATAAAGCTTAATCGAGCCATGTACTTGAGGTACGTAAGCTACACCCCAATAAAAAAGGGAAAAAAAAACACTATAGTGAAGTGTTGGACACTATAGTGATTGAACGGACACAACAATGGCATGGGGGGACAGTAATGGGGCTGGTAGGGGGACACACTTTAACCAGGGTGATAGGGCCCTGCTGAAGGAGCTGATGTCCAAAATCAAACCGAAAGCATGAGAAGGGCCCAGTCATGGCAGGATCCCAAGGAGGAGAAGTGCAAGCAGAGGGCACAGCAGGTGCAAAGGGCCTGGGGAGGAAAAGAACCTGACACTTGGAGGAGGGGGAGAGAAGGCCGCCACGGTTGGGTGTTGTGAAATTACAATGGTGGAAAGCAGCCGGACCCAGCTACCTGCAGAGACTGTAGGCCGTGGAGCAGAGGTTGGGTTTTCACGTAAGACGAGAGAAACGCTAATGGACATTTTTAAGCAATGGTGGGCTAGGAGCTCGTTTATGTTTTAAAACATAATGGCTCCGTCAGTTAAGCAACTGACTCTTGATTTCAGCTCAGGTCAAGATCTCACGGTTTGTGAGATCGAGCCCCAAGCTGGGCTCTGCACTGACTGCACGGAGCCTGCCTGGGATTCTCTGTCTCCCTCTCTCTCTGCCCCTCCCCTGCACGTTCTCTTTCTCTCTCTCTCTCTATC